TTTCCGGAGATCGAAGGTCCAGATGTTTCAAAAAATCATTGATCACAGAAGTTTCCGGAAATCAAATTTTCAAAGGTGGAACTTAAAAACACAGTTTATTTTTTTGTTTGTAAGGGAAAGCCAGAGAGATACTTTATAAGCTTATATTCATGATTAATATTAATTTTTTATCAGTAAATAGTTGTTATAACCATAAACTCAAGAAAGAAAGACATATTTGTAAATTTTAGTTACTTCTCCAGGTCATCATAGGTATGTGTAAAATTTTAAATATATTTTAAGTAAACTAAGAAATATTGAGAAAAAGGAAAAAAAAACTTGTTTACATTTTTTTCAATTTAAACTGTCTTTTTTTTTATAACTCAAGAAATTTTCCGGAATTTTGACTTGGGCTCACAGTCACCCCTGAGAAAATCTACTAAAAACTATGTATGTAATAATAGTTGACTATAAGTCTAAATACGACAAGGATGATTTTATTTTTAAAAGTAAGGCAAGAACAATTATGCATTAAATAGAAAGCAATTTGTTTACAATGAACTTACATTGTGGTTTTTCCGAAAAAATTCATTTTCTATTTTGAAAAAAAGTTGACATAGCGAGGTTTTGAGAAGAAACCTTTCGACATAGAAATTCAAATTGACATTAAGTGGATATATAAAGCAAAGGGGAAAAATATTTTTTTGAAATAACAAGGTTTTCTAGTTATCGAGAATATACTATATATCAAGCTGCTTAAATACAATCTCTTTTAGATTTCAGCTGTTATATTACATACATTAATCTCGCAATTCTTATCAGAAATAGGACAGTTTTGTTTACTTTCAAAGTTCCGAATATTCTCCAAAATTCTAGTTTTTTTTCTTCCAGCCTTTCAAAAACTGTGGATTTTTTTCATCTCTATAGTACTTAGTTTATTTAGTTGAAGTAAAAAAAATGACTCTAAAAATATTTCGAGATGGCAAGTTCAGGACTAAATTCGTTCTAAGAAGTAGAAAAATATATTCTAAAATATTACTCTAAAAAATGGAGTCATGAAATATAAGAATAACTACAAATAAATATCTATGTAATGATAGTTGACTATAAGTCTAAATGCAGCAATTATAATTTTAATTTTAAAAGTAAGACAAAAATAATTATGCATTAAATAGAAAAGAATTGGTTTACAATAAACTTACATTGGGATTTTTCCGAAATACATTCATTTTCTATTTCGAAATAAATTCGATATTACAGATTAGAAACCCCTTTCGACAGAGGAATTCAAATAAACATTAGGTGGACATATAATGCTTAGGGAAAGCATATTTTTTTGACATGACAGGGTTTCGGAGACATCGAAGTTCGAAATATCGAGAGTATAGTGTATTTACAATAATCTATATATATAATGTTTCTCTAGAAAGTTCTCTTTTTCAGCAATACATTCCATTCTCATTCTGTTTGACAAACCAGGAGATAAAAAATAGAAATAAGTCCGACCACTTGAAAAACTGAACAAAACCAAAATAAAAATCGTTGTCGACTAGAAATTGCGTAAATAAACGCGAACCATCAAAATAAGTGGCACCAGGCACAAATAACTTGAAAGATCGCAAGGTTTTGGATTTCTCTCTGTTTTCTTAAGTTTCGCTTCAAGAAGTTCCTTTTTTGGAAAATATTCTTCGACGCAATAGTGGGACCTCTATTTCACGCATGGTTTGAAAAAAGTAGAAAACGGAAAAAACCGCATTGTTGGTTGGGGTCAGGTAAATTATATTAAGCATAATACTTCATTCAAATTCGCACTCTTGTTATTTTGTATCAAGTTATTTGATTTTATCTTTTTCCTATAGCCCTGTTCGATTATATTTGGGTGAAATTTTTAAGGAAACAATCTCAGAAAACAAATTTGTTTCGATTGCAAGTTTCTTTTTTGTATCATTAATCTTGTTGTTGTAGCTCATTTCCGTCTCACTAGAGCTGCACAATGGGCTATTGGTGACTGTCTGGAAAACATCCCTGAGGATGATCCGAAGACTTGCCACCGCAATTTTGATCCTCCTGCAGAGGTGATTGCACCCCCTTTCGTTAGCCCGACAACCTGCGCGCGAAGTCTAACACTTTACGGTAAAACAGTTTAACGAGGACTAATACAGCACACTCTCGGTCCCTACTCAGACTGATCCAAGTGATCACCCACCCACACACTGACCGCTGCCAATGCTGCTTGACTTCGGTGATCAACTACTGCAGGGCTGATTGTGCTCCGGAAAAATCCGGATTTCCGGAGTTTTTGCTAACAGTGATCCGGAAGTTTCCGGAGATCAAAGGTCCAGCCGTTTCAAAAAATCATTGATCACTGAAGTTTCCGGAAATCAAATTTTCAAAGGTGGAACTTAAAAACACAGTTTATTTTATTTGTTTGTAAGGGAGAGTCAGAGAGATACTTTATAAGCTTATATTCGTGATTAATATTCATTTTTTATCAGTAAATAGTTGTTATAATCATAAACTCTAGAAAGAAAGACATATTTGTAAATTTTAATTACTTCTCCAGGTCATCATAGGTATATGTAAATGGTATAGGTATGTGTTAAATTTTAAATATATTTTAAGTAAACTAAGAAACATTGAGAAAAAGGGAAAAAAAACCTTGTTTAAATGTTTTTCTAATTTTTCAATTTAAACTGTTGTTTTTTTTTTCAAACTAAAGAAACTTTCCGGAATTTTGACTTGGGCTCACAATCACCCCTGCTACTGGGAACCGTGTCTTAGCCCTCAGTCCACAGCTGGACGCTTCCTTAATCTACGATTTTCAAGAAATTATGAAAGTACTTCAAATCAAAAGCAACTTGCTAAAAATTTAGACAAATTTTTGTGATATAAATTTAAATAAGAAAATTCTCTAACATTTAAAGGTGAAATTATGCTCAATTATTGAACGAAATGGTTTTATTTTATCATATACAAAACCATTCTTCGCAACTTCTGGGTCAACGATCCGGTTTTGACTGTGATTAATGATTGTTTTTCTGAACCGTGCATTGAATTTCTGCATTTATTCTGATTTCAAAGAAATAAATGTTTTTACGAAATTAGAAGAAAAAAATAAACGATTGAGATGTTTCGGTTCACTTCTTCTATTCATTCGAAAATTATTCAATTCACAAGTTTTTCATAATAATAAAATGCAAAAAAAAAAAATATTACAAAAGTTTAAGTCTTAAAACAAGCGTCTATTCCTTCATAACACGTTTAGCCTTGAATGAACACTTGAATGAATGATTGATTAACGCTTTACTAAAACAAAACTATTATCTTTTGGATTGTTTGAGAAAATCATTTCCTTTTTTTTCATGACTTCACAATGCTGTTCTTTGTTTATCGTACGTTAAAAATTAAATTGGTTAGCGAAAGACCAAATTTACCATTTAAGGATTTTTGCATAAAAATTTAAAAAAAGCTGTTTGTGCATTATCTTTTATCTTTGAAAACCGCTTTGTGTAACCCTTGATAGCTGAACATTTTTCCAATAGACTACCGTGAAATCGGGATGTTACTGATATTATTTCGTTGACGAATTTGAATAGTGACATTTTCGATAAAATTAAAACTTCTCGTTAGAAAATCTTATTTTAGTGTTATTGAACTTTTAAATATACATTTAATTTGATAAGTTCTTAATTTCTCAGACCTTATATGATAAAGATAAACTATAATATGCGTGTTTTTTTTTTAGAGAGGAAGAAGGATTCAAATGCATTTGACTACAAACAGACTACGACAACTTTAAGTAAGTTACCTTTTGACAGGTCACTAAGCTTTTTATTTCAGACATCGTTCAAGACCTAGCGAATTTTTTCCCGTGGGTCAAGTTTTCATAAAATTGAAGACACTGCTATTGCAGGAATTTTTTCATCTTTTGGTAGTGAGTGGTCAATTGTGGTGGCGTTATAGTTTTGAAAATTTGAATTGTTGTGCTGTATCCATTTTCTTAAACACGCATTTCAAACCCTGTTTATTTTCTTAAACATGCATTTTGAGCTAAGTCTATTTTCTCAAATAGTTTTGAGATATACCATTTTCTTAAATATGCATTTCGAGCTTTGTCTATTTGCTTAAATATGAATTTTTAAGCTATATCCATTTTCTTAAATCCGCATTTATGGTTTTTTCCAATGTTTTAAACACATATTTTTAACTATATTTACTTTTTAAAATACGCATTTCATCTTTGACGCAAACAATTTAACTGAGTTTCATAGAATTCCTGCGGACAAGAGTAAACTTTTCATACCAAAGAAGAACAACATCTGAACCTAATTTAATCATTTCAGTAAAATGTCACTAAATCCCCCAATTCTAATAAATACTGCTCAAAAAATGTTTAATACTTATTTTTTTGCTTATTATTCAGACATATATTTGCTTCCTTTATTCTTAAAGTTTATTATTTCAAACAATACGCTCTTAACGAGAAAAATAAAGTTCCTTATTTTAATTCCGTATTATTCCGTCCTTATCCATTTTCTTAAATCCGCTTTTCAGGCTTTTTCCAATATCTTAAAAGCGCATTTCTAAGTGTATTTATTTTCTTATATACGCATATCAAGGTATGTCTATTTTTAAAAGTGTATTTTGAGTTAAATCAAAAATAAAAAGCTCATCGACTAAAAGGCTAATAGTGCCAACGCTTGAGAACACAGACAAGAAATGTCACTAAAATGTCACTAAGTTCTAATGCAGTCCGTGACCAAATTATTAGAGTCACAAGAATCTATGTAAAGTTGTAATTATCAAGTGATATTATAAAGCTTTATTGCTTTTACGCAACTGAAACCGGTTTCACTTGTTTACATTCGTGTATCAATTGGTTAAATTAGACAATATATATTATAAATTCGACCATTGAACAAATTAAACGATATATTTCATAAATATAGAATATTTATAATATCAGGTATATTAATATATTATAATAATTACACCAAATTATTAGACGCACTGTAGGGGAGAGTGGGGTCAATTGTAACAGGGTACGATTGTAACAGAGCAAAAATTTTGAGTGTCGGGTTCTAGATTTGATTCCTAGGTGGCGCACAAGGTGTATTTAATAAATCTACATGTACACCCCTGCTGGCAACCATTTTTATGTACTTTTGAAAGAGTTACATCACAAAAGATATTTTCACGCTACGTAAGTACTTTTTTTGGTATTAGAATATTATATTGTAACAAAGTAATTTTGTTTAAACAAATAAAAATTATTAACCGAATATGTAAGTGGACACCTTAATTAACATTTCAATAAAAAAAAATTAGTTTTGTTAATTAACTAGCATTGTTTTTAACAAATGAAGCTGAAATGGCGTCTTGGGGACGATTGTAACAATAAGTAAAGGGACGATTGTAACAGCTGAAAATAAATAATCTTATGTTTACAAACCATTACTTAACTCTTTAAGAACCACCAATAGTTTCCTATATCATTTATATTATGTTGCATGTGCATTATTTTATTTGTCACCTTTCACAGCATAAATTAAAATTTTTAACCCCTTAAAGTTAAAAGTTTAACCCTTTAGGTCTCTGCTCATTATTATTTTTACTCCTAAAATATCACTACTATTTTGATCAATAAAAAAATATATCACAACTATGATAATATGTATAATTAACTATGTTTTAGTTGAATTTATGAACTGTTACAATTGACCCCGTAAGTGGGGACAATTGTAACAAGTGCACGACTGTCAAAAATTGTTAATAACTAATATAATAACATTTAAAATAAGGTATATATTTATTTTCTAGTAGAGGTTAGTCTACTTTATTCGTCTGTCAATTAATACTAATAATATATTGGATTTTTTGTTAGTTAAAAATAGTTAAGTAAAAAATGCTACAATTGACCCCACTCTCCCCTACTGTTTTAATAATTGCATGAGTTTATATGCAATACTTTTATATTTAAACATACATATAATGGGGTTTTTTTTATTTTGGAGATTTTTTATACGCTTTCTATTTGTATTTATTTTTAACGCATTACATTAAAATTTTAACCAATTGATACACGAACGTAAGCAAGTGCAAACCGGTTTCAGCCGCGTAAAAATAATAAAGTTTTATAGCAGTATAACCTGATAATTTAGATTTTGCATAGAATCTTATAGTGTGTCTAATAATTTGGCGAGGGACTGTAAATATTACTTGAAAAATTGTTTAATACTTCTTTTTTGCTTATTATTCAGAGAAGTATTTGCTTACTTTATTCTTAAGGTTTATTATTTTAAATAATGCACTCTTAACGAGAAAATTAAACTTCCTTATTATTTCTTCCTTTTTCCTTCCCCTATTTTAAATAATCGCTGCAAGTCACTATAGAATAAAAATGTTATTTCCTGGATGATGCTGAATTGTTCATCCTTTTGTTTTAAAAACCCATTGTTACATTTTCGGTCATTGTTTGGCGTATATTATGAGCTTTTAAGAAAACAGTTGTTTTTATCTGCAAGTCATGATGGATAGACGATGGCTTTTTGACCTGTGAATTGTAAAAAAAAAAAAAAAAGAAATCGATCAATGTACCCCAATAGATCTTAATCACTGGTATTTAAAAAAAGAATATCGTTAAAGCAGATTTATTACCACAGCACATTGACTAAAAATTACGTTTGAGTTGAAATTTCAGTAAATTATGCCTGATTCATTACACTTAATAATCCCTGTGGCTGAATTTTTTCAACTTATCTGCTTCAAAACTCTCTAGCACTAATACCTTTCTGCACGATACTTTTAATAATATCAAACATATATGTTGCTAATTTAAAATAACAAAAGGGCCGTGTTTACGAAATAAAACTATATAATTTTTTTTTAATTGAGCATGTAATAATTTTTATTCTAATATTATGGGTGATATTCTCTCATTTCGTGGGAGAGGAGCCCAACTTATTTCCTTCTTTGCATTTTGAAATTAATCATCACAATAAAAAAATAATTAAAATTCATGAAATCCGTAGTAGTAACTGCCGAAAAAATGATCGATGATGAAATCACGCGAATCGGATTACTCAAATGCGTGTTTCGTTTCGAGATTTGGTTGTTGTAATAAATAATATCGTATAAAAAATATCGGATTTAAAAACTATTGAGAAATCAATAGCAATAACTGCCAAAAATTCAATAGAATTTTTGCCTTAAAAAGTAAATACACTTGAATGCACGATTCGAATTTTCCATATTGTTTGAAATTTATCGGGATATTTAAAATCCCCGTGAAAATCAATATCAATAACTACCGAAAATACAATCGAAACATTACATCGATTCACGATACTATCGGCGTAAATTGAGCGTGTCAAAAAGTGATTACGTGAATGCATGATTCAAATATTACGTGTAAATTTCTGTAGAAAAGAAAAGTATGTATATATATATATAGATGTAATACAAAAATTATAAATACTTTTGTATTAATAAAAGCATTAATACTCTTTCGTTTTCATAAAATGTCTTTGTTAAAGAATAAGCGTAGAAATATTCTATTTTGGGAATTCAAGGCTGAAAACGTACCATTGAATTATAATTAGATTTATATTTCAAAGGAGGAGTTATTTTTAGAATCTTGTCCTTCTTTCACTTCCATATTAGGAAGCATTAAATGATTTTCCTTAATGCGTAAGGTTACGAGACTGAGCCTTTTTACTCATTTTCTATTAGTATTTAATGCGGGAGTGATGGTTTTCGCATGTCTCCTGCTGAATAATGTGTTCCCTGTCTGATCTGACGGAACCATCCGGAGTTTTGTCCACACCCCCTCCCTTGTGGAGTGTGGATGTGAACTGATATAACCACCAGCCTACCTTTAAATAAATCTTTCGAGAACGTATATGGTTTACAACTAACTTATTCAAGCTGAATACAACAATGATGACAAGGGTGTAGCCCTGTTATTATCTATATATANTATCTATATATATATATATATATATAACTTTTTAAAAGAAAAATCTTTCTGCAAGAACTCTGTAACGTTCTGCGACAATGTCGCCGTGTCGCTGCTATTCTGCAACGGGGTTAATAATAACCACTTAATGTGATTAATGTGCATAGTTGAAATAATTTAACTAAAAAAGCGTTTTGATTATTAATGATAACCGGTTATTATTAACAAACATATTCGTAACATTTATATAAAAAATCGTACATTTTTCGTCGTAACACAGGTTTGAAAACGATACTCTGTAATCTCGATGAAGTTTTCGCTAAATTCTCTCGTAGTATAAAATTATTTAATCCCTGATACCTCCGAAAAAAATTATATTTCAGATGAAAACCTAAAATTTTCCAATCAGCATGTGCTGAATGTAAAAAACAACATATGTACAACAAGGGTTACCAGGTTATTCTTTCTTATCGGTCAGTTACTTGCAATAAACAAAAATCATCCTGAATTCATTTTTCACCCTGCTTGAAAAGGTCACCTTGAAAGGTTACGTTACGTTGTTTTTTCAGTTGTAATTTAGAGTTACGTTTTCCGTCTGCAAATTAAAAGATTTAGAGTGAGTTACGCTGAAACGAAATTTCAGAAAACTGTCAAAGAATTTTTTTTTTCGCAATATGTAGCTATTTATTACAAGGATGCCAAATATAATGATGAAATCGGCAAAACAAAGCGCGCTAAAAAGTGATTATTTAAATGGGAGATTTGAAACTCACGTGTAATAATAATATCGTAGTAAAAATAAGAGAGTTAAAAAATCACGGGGAAAAGCGTAGCAATAACAG